GCTCTTTTAAGTTTGTCTTTAGTGTAGATGATATTGTGGTTTATCTTGAATTGAAACATTATTAACTTTGTATTTTCCGTAACAGAAAAAGGCCATTTATATAATTTTTGGATTTCAGAAGGCTCCACTCCGTAACTAATAATTCGATTTTCATTGGTAGGTAGTTGAAATTTTTTCTCAACAATTATTTTGTGCAGAGCAGCGTTGGAAAGATTTTCTTCTTTGTCGTACCAATTCTGTTTCCGTGTTTGCCTCTGTCTACCAGTAGGCGAAATTTTCCATTTATTTTTAATTGCACTGAGCAGGCCATAGTAAACAGTGAAACTAGATTTAATTTTGAAAAGGTTAACAAATTCTTGATACGTCAGGAATTTTCCGCCATTAGGGTTTAAGAGGTGTTTAACTTTTGTAACACCCGCCTTGTGCCATGACTCATAAAATATTGGCCTAGTTGCGATTTTTATTTCATGGTTGTTCCGTATTACTGCATCGTATGGATCTGTTTTTTCTTGATTTATTTCAACTTTGATTTTTTTTATCATTTCCCAACAATTTAAAATTTCTGAATAGAAACAAGGAATGTTGTTTGAATTGAGTTCTTTGGTTTTATAACTGCATGATAATAAGAACTTAAAACCGCCTAGGTGTCGAGTCATGTAATTTGGGATGATTTACCACGGCGCATCCATTTCTTTATTAAATCTTCTCACCCATGAAGCTTTCAAGGCTTTATTCATCGACTCAAACTCACTCATTTTTAATCCACCCACATTCTTGTCTCCAATTAATGTTTGTTTTAATTTTATGTGGTTTGTTCTCCCATATAAAATCCAATATGGTTTTATCAACCCTTTTGCTGAAATTTTCAGGTAATGATAAAACTGAAGCATTGTATATTAGTTTAGACAACCCAAGTGACTTGACAATGTTGATTTTCCCAAGCAGAGTCAGTTTCCTCCTTTCCCAGGAGTTAAGGATTTTTTCCAAATCTTCTAGTTCGTTATCAAAATTAAGACTTTCACATTTGCTTCTATGGTTGGAGAAGTGGATACCTAAAGCATAAACAGAATTTTCTGACCAGCGAAACTCAAATAATGTGTCTTTCCTTGTTGCCCAGCGGCCCAGCCACATGGCCTCTGTTTTACATTTATTCAATTCTAAGCCTGAGCAGCCTCTGAAATTTTCTGTCTCAAGTAACGTCTACACTGAATCTAGATCTCTGAGAAGAAGAGTAGTGTCATTTGCATATAAGGTATTTTTTATTTCCTCTTCTCCGACCTTTATTCCCTTGATGTTGCTATTCATTTGAATTGCAAGATTAAGCAGTTCTATTCCTAGAACGAACAGGAGTCCTGATAAAGGACAGCCTTGTCTTACTCCGCGTTTAAGGTTAAAAAAAAGGGGATGCAAAACCGTTGTTTGTAACACAGCTAGAAATATCCGTGTAAAACACTTTAAGCCATCTTTTGAAATCTTGCTTGAAGTTAAAAACATCCAAGACTTTGTGCAAGTATTTATATTTTACTTTGGAATTTTTCATTGACGTAGATCTATTCAGTGTGTTTGCGAATAGCCTGCGTAGCTCGGCGGTTTAAGCAATTTTTTTACGCAATTTGAGCGCGAGCGCATAAAGCTGCTAAGCCGTGAAAACGAGCGGCGAAGCCGCGAGGAACCGCCTGCCCGGATTGCCCATATTTTTTATTGCCGCCCCCTATTTAACCTATTACATGTTTTGACAACTTGATGGCAGGTTTTGCAGATCGTATTGACTCAGCCAATCAGAGCGTAGATCGTAATAGGAAACTTCCAACTTGGCAGGGAAAAGTCTCTGATACTTGAAATTTGCAAAATTTTAATAACACTTAAAGAATAAACCTGAGGCGGAGGCTGAGATTTTGAAAAAAAATATAATTTTGTGTATTTAAAATTCATAATTACAATACAGTTAAGTTTCTAATCCTAATGTAAACCGTATTAAATTCTTCGCTTCTCTAAACAACAAAACTAGCCCAAAACAACAAAAACAGCACTAGCCAAATGTTTGATCAACATCACAACATTTCTGCAAGAAGTTATTTGCATTGTATCAATAGTTTTTAAATTGCTGCAGGCTAGCTCTAAAATTACTTTAACACCATCCAGACACCAAATACATTTGACAACAGAACTGTCATATGCTATAATCTAAGAATATTCACAAGGACATTTTCAACCTAAAACTGGCAGAAATATAAAAATATTCAGCCTCGGCCGCAAAAACAATATTATCATTAGGAAAAAAGAGTGTAAGAATTGAAATAAGCCCAATCTTAATATAGATGGAATACGTGTCCGGACACAAGAAAACTGAAACGATTTTTTGTAGAAACAACAAGAGTCACAGAAAACGAACAAAAGCTCCTCTTAGATTTGAAATTCAAACATAACAAACGCTTCTAACTCTCTCATCCCGCTCTACTTTGTTTCCGTTCGCAGAAAATCTAATAGCACATGAATATAGAACAAAAAAAAACAGCACATAAGACCGCTTGTGGCGAGCTGCAGCTAGCCAGCTGTCGGCAGATGTGTACTTCAATAAAAGCTTGAATGTCCATTATTTATATTTTCCCAGGCTTATCGCTACTTCTATGGTATGGGTTACATCTTGCAAATTAAAATCTAACGGAAAAGATTCACCTTTCGAATCGTTAACAGCAGTCTGATTCAACATCGCTTGAACTGAATTGCAATGGGCCCTTTGCACGATCCGGTTATATGGCGCAAAATCACACATGCTGGCACGCAAATTGTACAGTGGGACTTCCAAAACAAAGTAACTCGTACCAGTCCACCTTGACCTGCCTTTGTTTTGGAAGTCCCCCTGTTGCGTCCCAGCATGTGTGATTTTGTACCATGTGACCGGATTGTGCAAAGGGCCTATACAACCTCCCATACGTATAAACACTGGCCACGTTCGCAATATTTCGTTAGGATGTATTTAAACCAATCAGCCTGTTCGTATGAATGGGCCAATCAGCAAGGGTGACAGTTCAGCCTTACCAAGGTTATTCTCCCGCCCGCCATTTTGAAAAGTGGAGAAGGCCCTGGGGACAAGGTTGGCCCGAAGTATAGACAATAACAGAATGCGCATGCGCTCGGATCAGCAACCGAATCCGGCTTTATCGTCCCCAGAGGCCGCGCTCCTTTTGGTCAGCACCAAGAATCGCGACCTCTGGCATGGTCCAACACCGGAAGTCCGCGATTCACGGACTTCCCGTCACTCTGCTCATGCTCAGAGTCAAGTCTGACAAATCTGATTGGTTTCGGTCTCATTCTAGTGTGTTTACAAAGCCATTCAGAACCGGAATCTCACTGGACCTATCCAGAGGTCGTGATTCTTGGTGCTGACCAAAAGGAGCGCGGCCTCGAGACGAGAATACACGGAATCCAGCAGAATGTTTGTTGCCGATCGTGGTTAATTAAGCTTCAGGGATTTCAATTCCTGGTCTTTCGAAAATTCTTACGTGCTGCAGGTAACCGAAGGGGTTCATTTACTCGATCGACTCTGGTCATTGTCTGGTATCCGGACAACTTCAATCATTCTCACCTAATATAAACTCGGTCGATGAAGATGCTGATTATTGCTGATTATTGCAACTCGTAGGAATGGGAAACTGTATCTTTTAGCAAGTTTGCTGCAGTTTGGTACAGAAGAGCAACTTTCTTAGCACTTACAGTTAGAACTATTATAATTATGCTTGTCATACAAATGTTTTTATTTGACTCGCATCTCAACTGGAAGTTTATCAAGTTGCTAACAGGTTGTGACCTATAAATTCTGTTCGACTAAGCCGGGAATGTTTTAATAGTTCCGACTCTTTTAGGAAGAATATTTCACTCCTGTACAAATTTGACATTATAAATCTGTTCAAAAAAAAAAATTATAAATCTGTTGAAATATCTGTGCCTTTTCACGGAGTTCAGTTCTTGTCATGATGAAATAATAATAATAAAACCACTAAGAAACCACCCTTTAGATGTGGCCAAAAAAATAGGTGGAAACGTATTCCTCATCTAAGCACGAGACCCCGAGGAAAGGGTACAATACTGTAACGCAGGACATTTACAATCATACATACAAGATGTTATAACAAAAGCTTAATAATAGAAAAAGAGGACGAACACGAAGACTGGCTAACCTAGAATAACCTAAATCTCCCGCCAAATGCCTAAATAGTCCCTAGACGTCCCATGACAGCCCGCGAGCGTCACCATCGTGCCGTCAGAATGATACTTTCCGACTAATTCGTTCCCCGATCGTCAGAAATTACATTTGGCCGTTGAGAATTTGAGTGCTTTGTAAGGCATTGCTTGGAGTTTAAATAACGAGGGATAAAAACGCGCAACGAAATATAATGTTACCTTCTTTTGAATGAAATAAAGAAAATGTACTCACCTTGCCTGGTTTCTGTTGTCCATTTGGTATATTTCACCGACAACAATAAAAAAGATTGCGACCCAGTATGTTTCAATTTTTAGAAATTCATTTTCAAACCCAAATCATTTTCAAGCGAATAGGATCTTTTAGGATACATTTTTCTCTTTTTAACACGAACAAGGTAAAAAACCTGAACAAACAGCCAAGCTTCGAAAAACGGTGTTTATTAATGTCTTCTGCAGCGCCTCGAGCTCGCCCTGATCAAACAACTTCCCCTACCCCTCCCATATAGTGTCAAACTCCCTCCCCCAGTATCAGCCACTGATATCAAATTCACGTCCCCGGGGCGCATCGACTAGTCAAATGCCAGGGGTACTACTGGGGTATGCCCCGGGGGGGAGATGTTAATGTCTCTATTTGATCGATACATTAGCAGCATCTAGACTGTTCAGGAAATAAGATTAAATGTACTTGGATTCATCAGCGAAAGCAAAACACCAATCACAACTGCTGTACTGACCTATTATTCGGGCATCCTGTTATGGGGCAAAACATCTTCAGTTGAAACCACCGTGGCATTTTGAAATTTTCCTTTGAGTCTTTTAGTTTTCACTCAAGCGTTCGCTATTAACTCTGTGGCTTCTGGTGACAAGTGCTGTAATCTTATTCAGTGAAGTCTTTCTTAGAATTTCTTTCTGTCCAATCAGCAAGCGAGTAGTATCACTTCCGTTAATAACAATGGAAAGATGATGGGCCTTTTCCCTGGCTATTAACTCGGGACTTTCTGTGCTACTGATGAAAGTGAAAGTGCTTGTTAGGAGTTAAGGTAGTTGTATGTTTTGTACCACTGAGGTAAATAACGACAAAGTGAACCTGACTGAATTATGAAAAATTTGCTTTGAGCTTTAAAGCATTGACTGTAGTTTCGTCGAAAGATCTAATTTGTTATGATGTTCCTCTTGTTGTCAAGGCAACCGTTTCTGCGAAATCAAGAGATCATCAC